TTTAGAATAAAAAACTCCCACATCGGCAAAGAATTTTACGCGTAGAATCGTTTTGCACCTTCTCAAGTGCTTCAACATCCCTTCTCCTNACTTTGCTCTAATAGCTTGTAAACCACGCATACGTCAAATACTTTGCGCCGTGATTCCAAAGTAGAGAGTTCAAAGTATTTGTTGCGAATAGATGCTTTATTAATTTTAGAATAAAAAACTCCCACATCGGCAAAGAATTTTACGCGTAGAATCGTTTTGCACCTTCTCAAGTGCTTCAACATCCCTTCTCCTAGATGGGTTGCACACAGCAGCACCACTCTCAACCAAGGGCCGAACATATATTTTATAAGCTTTGAGAAGTATGGACTTATTGGTGGAAGACAATCCCTTGAAGATGTGCAGTGTACGCAATAAGGCCAGGGTACACCGGGTTCTGATGTGTACAGAAAAGTCAAGTGCGTCAGTATAATGAAAACCTAGGTCTCTTACAGATGTGACAGGAGTGATTGTAACTCCTTCAACTGCATAAAGACTAGAAGGGATCTCGGACTTCTTGTCAATAGTCATACACTTGGTCTTATGTGGAGCCAAGGGGAGCTGCCACCGCTTAGCCCAATCACGTAAGATGTTTATCGCACTCTGTAGCCGCTCCTGGTCCTTCGCTTCATTTATCGAATAAGGAGCGGGACTATTCGATCAATCAAGCATCGACATGGTCTTCAAATCGCTGTAGAATTGTCAATACGCCTACATAACCCTTGCTTGCAATCGACTCTATGATACCTATACGACATCCTTGACTGAATGATATGCCCTAATGGCAAAGAGGGTGGGTGTATGAGGGTTGAAGTAATCTACCCAAAAAGTATGAATTTGTGCTCTTCTAAACTTGATAGTTTGTTGAGTAGATCACTTCAGCCTTCATACAGCCACCCTCTTTACCAAAAAAGAATACAGGAGTCCCTTAATGACATTCACTGTAAGCAGGAAGGAGAACGTGCCTAAAGATGGTCCTTGCCCCACTCGTGTCGTTCATTGCCGAGGTGCGTTTGAAATATCATATCCTTGACTAAGAAACTTTCGAGTATAACCCCGTACTGTTCCCGTGATATCCTGAAACGTTCCCTACATCTTAAAGGCACAGTTCACGGTAGTTTTAAGGTACCCTTTTTAGGTTGAAAAGCGGACGTGTTGATTTAAAGGAGTACATCGGTGGCGAAAAAGACGAGAAAATCCGCTTACTTCTAGGTTTTGAAAGTAGTGGAATTGAAGGTTGTACGAATCATTGCGACAAGAATGGCATGTAAGGGGTTTTTGGAAGAAATTCAACGAATTGCTGCCATCGTGCAAAGAGATGGCTACATCAAGCATAACTGCCCAGGATAGCCTTGCACTGTCGCTATGGGTCATGACATGTGTTTGAACTTCCTACATTAATTCCCTCATGAATGGTGCAGCCTCTATGAAGCTGTTGAGACTCGTCCACTAGGGGTGTGGCATTCACGCACGATACAATCTCTTCCTTGTTGTGCCGCATCCAGCATGTTTTTCGCCATTATAATGGCATGGTTCAACGGGGAGCCTCGAATTCATACTATAAGGGAACGTCAAAAACCATTTTTATCGTGAACTAAGCTTTTAAGCACATGTGATGATCGGCTTGAGGCTGTATCTTGCCAAGTGATGTCAATGAGAAATATTTTGGCTATTCCGTGTAGCTGTGTCGAAATGACATCATTGTGATTGACTAAGCTTCGGAGTTGAGGAGAAGGGAACGCGCGACACTGGTATTACTCAAGAACGTCGAAGGAATGCTGAAGTAGGCAAAGAACACCCAACTTCAAACTCAACATTGCGGTCCTTCTTACCTTGCCGCACGCCCATGAGTCTTGGACTCTACGCAATCGAAACGTATGCGCTCAGCGTCATTCACCGCACTATGGAAAGACAGTGCGCAGTGAATCCCGAAGCACGCAAGTATGGAGGAAATCCAGATTCGAGCTTTGTCAGGAACGCTGTCACATTTTCGTTCTTTGCGCTTTCCAATGGACGAAAGGCGAAAGACAAATGGCGTCAGCGACATAATCATCGCCTGCGGCCGACACCATTCACGATCATTTGCAGTTTTGGACAAGATTATATTTGCGTTAGAATCCGCAGGTGGACACTCCCATAGTGAAAAGTTTTACTTCGCTGCCTATAGAGAACTTCGGCTATCTGCATTTTGTTGCTTCGATGTTCTTATTGGAGGGATCGGACCATCAACTCACCTTAGGATTCCCCTTTCCAGTGGGTGGGATGTAGCCCATTAAATTTCCGATACGAACTACGGGGGTGAGCCGAATTACAACAGGAAGACCATACTAGACTACATTAAAAAGTTCAAAAAGTTCGAAATGCTGTCAGGTAGGGAAGAATAGCAAGTGCCTGAAAGGATTTCGAGGGCATTTCGTTCTTGAGTCCAAAGTCTTCTCTTTTCCCACATCTGTAGCACTCTTTGAGAACCCCTATTTCTTCGTAGTCTCGCACATTCTTCATAAACAACTGAAGCCTCGTTTCTCACCTTTGGGAATATTTGCTTCATTTTAAACTAACAGACCTCATCGTGTAATTAAATCCCAAACTGCTACGATCTACATGATGCAAGTTTTATCGGGCGCGTTTTTTTCTTCAGTATTCTCTATGCGAACTACTTCGATAAGCTCAACAAACACCTTTTTAGGCACTCAAATCAGAGGTCCAGTTCCTATGAAGCCGTGTCAAAATGTTGCTAATTCTCTTGAGTGAGGCAAAAAAGCATGATTAATAGAGTTCAGTTCAACTCATTGAAGACCTACTCTCTGTACTGAACGAAACCAGCTATCAGGATCGACATCAAGCAAAAACTCGAGCATGATTGAAAGCCTAATTGTGATTATGTCCACTTTCGATACGTTGGAAAGGTCATCGATGTTCTGCAAGAGAAAAATTTATGATCGAAGCTGCAAAATGATTGATAGACAGCCGTCATTTTTCATCAGACGCCGAACTTTTCAAACTTGATTTATTTCAATTGGAATTTAAACAAGTGACAGATGCCTCCCTGAGCCGATTACGAGTTTTTTGGAGCTTCTCGTGGTCGTTCCCTTGCGCTTTGAACTCTTTCGCCTCTCTTATCGGGTAGACTTACAGTAGCGCTCAAATGTCTTTGGTCAAACGTTCCTACGCTTTTTGTTCGTAACTTTTTTTCCTAGCTGAGCGAATTGCGCGAAATTTTGATATGTTTAACCAAAGCCTATTTCCCACTACTCAACACTATTCGACTGCAAAGCACAATATCCACGGAACTAAGAGCAAGGTGCTTAGGCGGTAGCATATCGCTGAAAGCAAAGTTAGTGACGTCCGCAGTTTTTCGCACCTCATGTGCGTTTTTCTCACCAATTGTGTTCGGCATTAGCGCTTGTACACTTAGGATATCGCAAAAAGGAAAGAATTTCCAGGAGGACCATCATCCGTGTTTCCAGTTGACTTTCAGTTCAAGCCCTTTGAGATATCTGGACCATGACCAGATTGCATATTGATAGTGGTAAGTATTCGCAATACGCCCATGCTAGACATATTCAAATTTCGTATGATTTGAACCAGTAGGAAAGGAGTTACGACTGAAAAGTACGAGTGAAGAAGCATTTGGCCGAAGACTTTTGAGCGCTACTGTAACCTTCTCACCACGTGTACCCTCTATAAACATTCTTTCATCCGCTTTCAGATAGGCAGGGGTTGCTTCGTAAATGTCTTGACGTTTTTGTTACTAACCCGCTCCATTCGCATATGAACTTTAGGCTCATCGAAGTCCTTAGCCTGCCACTTCTGAAGCTATAGTTAGAGTTTTTGCCCAATTTCTGCTAGCGGATAGGTTTTAGTGGCCCATCGGGGATTTTTCGGTGATCACATCCAGTGGTAACAGAAAGAAGAACAGGCTCCGACTACCACCAACCGTGACATTTGTTGCTTCTGTTAGGTCATGAGGGGTACGCATAACTGTCTAAGATCTGTCGTTCATATGTTTGGAAAGAGAAATCAGTTGTACTAAACGTTAGATGTTTGCTTCTTAACTTTTCGTTTCTCACGAAATCAGAGTGCTGGCCGCGGTAGGAGGTCGAAAGTCCACTCCAAGTCTAGAAAAATAACGGAAGTGGCCTTGTGAGGGCCTTGTGAGAATGGGTAACGCGTTTTTTGGACAGCCATTAAGACAAGATCTAATTGAATCATCTGAACAGTTACCGCTGTTGCCCCCGGCAAGATCACGGCAAGTTATTGCTTGAACAACCCACGATATAATCAAATCTGGTCCATGGCCACAATACATAGTGAAGTCCCCTCTGGCCTGACAGTAGAAGCATACAGTCCCCTTTCACAATACTTCGATATGAACCGCCGTTTGAAGCCATTTCAGGCTTGATTAACCTAGATTTCATTAATATCGTCCTCCTACTAGATGCTATGCCATGCAATGTGGTTGTTTCAAGTTTCTGCGGTTTTGATGATGATTTGAGGTTTTGGGGAATCAGCTGGTTTACTTAGAGTCGTTTCACTAAGAACCATCGTAAACAACCATCTCTAAGAAAGCCCTACGTTGTACAAGCCATAAGTACCCAAATATAAAACCCCTTCCAGCGAAATGCGAAGGTGTCTGGTACTGCAGAAAATGATCCGGAGTAGTCACTGCAAATAAGGTTGGATGAAAAGAAATTGCTCCAGGTTTCCAGAACTTTGTAGTCTCTCATGTTTTCCTTCAGTTTTAAATATTTATCTGCGTGAAATGCTGTAAGGATGCAGCCTTTCGCAAGTCGTGCCGCTTCTTATTGCTATTGGGAGGAGTTGTCTGTGTCATGCTTGTTGTCTGTAATTCCATCTCAATAAGACTCTGGCGGTGTCAATGCATTTGTCTAGGTATTTTTTGGATATACAATTTCATCAAAAACAGCTTTACTCACAACCATATTTTCAGGATTTGGCAGCCTTCAGTGTCTTCAGGCCTGTCTTCGAATAAGAAATAGTGATCGTGGTGGGCACGGACAATATTCAGCATCGTGACCAGGAATGCCATTGCCTCCCCCGATACCAGCAGTTCCTGGTGCACCCGGTTCACCACGTTTCCCTGGAGCGCCTATCGGGCCTGGAGGACCATCGGAACCTGGCAATCCAGGCGCACCCGGTATTCCAGTGATTCCAGGCGCTCCTATCGGTCCTGGCTCTCCCGGTGGACCGCGAGCACCTTTACGTGATGTTCCTGGTTGGCCTGGTGCACCCGGTTCTCCAGGATGTCCAGGCACACCATCTGGCCCTGCATCTCCAGGAGGTCCTGGTGGTCCAGGCTTTCCCATGACAGCATAAGGCAAAGCTGGGACACCTGGTATTCCAGGAGGACCTTGCAATCCAGGAGGACCATCGGGTCCTGGTGGACCTCGTTCTCCTGCCGGACATCTCACGCAACCTTCGGGAGGAGCACATGCTCTGTCGTAAGAACCGCCATTCATATTGTCCAGTCCCGCAGGACCTGCCGCACCAGGAACTGAAATGGAAAGCTTATCAACATCATTGCCCGATGATGGTAATGTTGTGACTGACAATAAGCAGCAATTTCAAAGCATATCTTGTATTGAAAACAATGGCCATACTAGCGTTACCTCCTGGCATTCCGGGTGGACCAGGCGGTCCTGGAGGGCCAGGTGGACACTGTGGAACGAGGTCACACTGACACCAGTCGGGAAGACCTGTGAACCTGAAAAGAAAGTGGGAAGCATCGAAGTTGTTTCACGGTAAACAAGTGAAAAGGAATGTCTCCAAAAGCCCAGGCGTACGCGTGAAACAGACAATGATTACTTATGCTACTGATGTTATACCGTTGTCGTCAAGAGTTGTCGTTTAACTGCTAGCAATAGCATTTCGCACTTCCGGAAATTCTTAATTGAAATACCCCTTTGAAATATTTCATAGCATACCATCGGCACTATGCTATTGCCGAGAAAGTGCAGTCGAAAAAGAATCGCTCTAGATAATTCCAGGATAGGGTGATGGATCGACCCTTCAATGTTCAGATGACAGCGTGCTTTGCTGTGAATCGCGAACCCGTTCGAAGTCGTTCACGAGTTCTAGATTCTGGGGTAATAGAGGGGTTTGAGTCCAAAAGTGCGTGAGCACCTCACTGAGAAATAGAGATGCCGTGATGAGAGCAGACTACATCAAGCGCCAAATGGATACATTCGATATAATAAACGAGCTGCTTCCAGCTGAACTCAAAAAGAGGTTATCGCTTTCAAGTGTATGAGAAGTATAGGGTACGTTCAACCGAAGGTATGGACCACGTAATTTTGAGACACCCTTTTCAAGCCGAAAAGCGTAAGTTCTGGTTGGGAACAGTGCATCGAGGTGAAGAAAGCGAGAAAACTCGCCAATTTTGGGAAAAGTAAGGTTTCTCGAAGTAATGAAAGAGAACTGACACGTAAGAGGTATTCGGACGAGATTTCAGTTGCTGCAATTGCGCAAATAGTTGACTACGTCGAGAAGAAACTAACCAGAATTGCCTCCCACTGTTGCCATATGTCATTACAATAGTATGAACTCCTTATATGGGTTCCCTTGTGAAGGGTGCAGCCTTTGCTATGAAACTCGTCCGCGCACACACACGGAACAATTTTGAGCCTTTGTAACGCCCTGACTAGGCCAATTTCCGGCCTCATACCGCCAGATGCGATATATGAGAGGCCATGAATTCATCCTTGTGGAAATCTCAGAAATCACATCAGGAAGCGTGCCTTCAAAAACAGTCCGTCTTCCATGTACTGCCCGCTTCATACTGATTGAGATGCGGAACTTGTTGCACCGTGATTTTCATTCGATATCCAAACAAATGGAAACGATCGACACAGTTCAAAAGTATTTCCTCTAAGTGATACCCCTTAACATCTCATGTTTCTTTCATTTGACATTATTCTCACCTTTTTTCTCTTCGCAGAAATGGATTCTCTTTGGGTTTCGATGGAGGGCTGTGATTAATCTGCATGTTCATCAACTCGATCCATGATGAATCCGTTTCAACCTGATATAAGTATGGACCATTATGAAGAGGTTCTGGAGAAAACGTAACAGTATAAACAAACCTTAAAGCTCTCAACGGCTTCGAACACCTCGTCTTTCAGATCAACCATTTCCCAATAGAGACGAGGGAGAAAAAGCATAGATCCGAATAATGAGATGGCCCCAGCGGCAAGCGAGAGCGACATAACAAACGGTGTCTCACGCATTGTCCTGAACTTGATAAATCTGCTTGAAAATATACGATTGAATTTCGGCTGAAACGAATGCACGGTTCACGAAATGAGCGAAGCAAGTGGGAATCTTTGGCCACTGAAAAAGTTTCCGTTCCAGCATTTGCAAAGTCAAATCTATTTACAGTAAGCGTAAGGAGGAATGAGTGACAAGCCCAGACGGCGTTCTGTAGCTGCGAACTTCCGTGCTTCGGAGGGGCTTTATATTCTCCACCCCGCCCACTCCACTCGTATTCGTCCACACATAAAAACTCATTTCATTCAAGCGAAGAAATTCGCCAATCTTATAGCAATTCCATTAAGACGAAACCGCTTCTAGCTGAAGAAAAGAAAGCACTACGAGCGACGACAAAAATTGGATTGTTTTTTGGTTGAAAAGCCCCCAAATGGGCAATTCTCCTTGCATGACGGTGCTTAGCTCATCGCTTATTGGGCATATCGGGCTTGTTTGTGAATAGCACGAGAAACTTGTTCCAATCATTTTATGTGAAACCATCCATCAATTTATTACCCCAATGATGGGCATGCTGATAACACCACTGATTCCTTGATGACATCTGTGTTTTTACCTCGACCCAGTTTCGAGTTAGATGTGATTTAAAGCAGAGCAAAACTGTAAGTAGGGCCATTTCTGAGATGGGTATGCTACCGCGTTTTTATCAATCGCTTATGACATGCTAGCTGGTTCTGTATACCTTTATCAATCACAGCAACCGATAAGTTCTTAACCATCACACGAAAGCCGGTTCAGTAGAATGCCAGTACTGATGTGTCCGCTGATGGGCATTTTATTGCCATAAGCTTTCGACGGATTTGGGTTATAAGAGAACGACATTTTACAACTTCCAGTTTCCATCCCAAATAACTTCGGAAACCCCTTACTACTGTAGTTGCATGGCTAAAATGAGTAAAGTGAGTACAATCAGGTTCGTCAAAAATTCCATTTCCTCCTGAGTTATTGGTACGTGTGGGGAGAGTTTAGGGAGGCTTGCACGTAAGGGAATCAAATGAATGAGGTATCATGGTGAGGATGACTGGAATCTCGTTTAGATCATTCCTCTCACATTGCTACTAAAGCCCCTAATGTACTCTGTATGACGAGGGAACAGCTGATGACAGCGACAAAGTGAAGGGATACTGAGATATCTCATATGCAGGAAGCGGCAATACGTGCAGTTGACTTTAATTATTTCAAAAAGGACTGTTTGATATGCTACACAGTTGTTTACCTCATACAAATCGCTGTAAGAAATGTCAACGAACACCCAATCCAAGTCTGATCTCATTACACAACCAATTTATGGGTTGGAGAAAGGTTCCATGCTGAGCTCCACCAATGATTTGATGTACAATATTTTTTCAAAGGCTGGTGTCGAAAGGGAGGGTTTAGCCCTCGAATGCTGGCCAGAATTTTTTTCATTTGGCGAAAAACGCTGCTGTGGAAGATGAACAGGTTAGAGCGTATAATTCTGTCTTGAGTCGGCCACTTTCGCCGACTTCCTCATCGTCTGTTATTTCTCACTGTGCGATGTTTTTCCTTCCCAAATCAGCTTTCCTGCCAGCTACTGCTTTCTTTTAGTTTTAATTCATGTACGCTTTGTTGATTTGATTGTTTACAGCGTGATAAATCCCTTTTCTCGCCGGTTGCTTCCAGATACCGCACTTCTGATTCCGAGCTTCATTACCCTATTATACGATGGTGAAGGACATCTTTAATGTGAAGGCGATTACCAGCAGGCAGAAAAGGAAATCGTCGTACCCTGCTGGGAAGCCGTAAGGAAGGGAAGCTCTGAAGGTCGCCTATCTTATTGTTAGAGTAGAACGCGAATGAGTGCCTCTCATCACTTCTGAAGAATTCTGTTTGAAATGAAACGAGAAAGAAAGCTTTCGTTGCCACTGGTTTCCACCCTTCGCTCATAAGTTCCTAGACAAGAGGTCAGTAGCCCAGCAAAACTACTACTTTTTAGCTTTCTTTCCGTCTGCAGCCCATCTTTTGCGGAACTTGTGCCAGGTGTATACTCCTTCGGGGACGAGAAAGCTGGAGGGAGTTCCTTGCTTTGATTTTCTTCTTTTTCTTGATCTTCCAAACTCAGAACATCAGTGGACCTATTATCCATTCAGGAAATCAAGTTGTTGCCTGAGCGAATCCTCACCTCTCTACAAATCACATCACAGAGAACGCTGGCCGCTCCACTGAATGTTCTAACACTCAAAAACCAGTGGAATGGTTAACAATCGGTCTCTTACTGTAGCCAGTACTGACCGTCTCTTCATCTACGCTTGGAAATCTTTTTTACATATTTGAACATTGTATACCGTCGGAGGCTATATAGGAGAAAAGCACAGGGAACCCTGTTTTCGTTTTCTCTGTGGGAATTTTGTGATTTAAAAAACATTTCATGTGTTTTGTGTGAATATGGCGGAGGTACCATACTTTAGGGAAAGGAAGCGAGCCCCCTGACTCAAACCTCTTCAGGTCAACCGATCGGTGATTCTAGAGTCGATAAATGGAGGCGAGCCAGTCCAAAAATGATTATAGCATTTATAATTAACATAGATCCAAGAATAACATTCATTATAGCAAGTAATTATAATAATTATGAAAAAACCCATAGCATTATTTGCCAACTGGTCTCTATAATTTTCAGTAGAGTTGAAAAACTTGACGCATTTCGTAAGGGGATTGTTCGTGGTTTCTTCTTTTTATACTTAGATACTCAACTCGGATGTTTCTTTTCCAACTTTGATTCTGAGGAGCAGCAATTGGTCTGTGGATTTGCCAAAATGAAACAATTCAATGTGTCACTTCAATTGATCGCCACCATCGGACACTTTTCCAAAACCTGCGACGCAAGGGCGCTTTATCCTCTTAACGGCTGCTTGACTGCTTCAATTTGATTCCGTTCTTAGAGAGCAGAAAAAAATAAATGTGGCTAAATTCGCGACACCTCAAACGGGTTCTTGCCTTCAACTGCTCCTAATTCTTCCCCTCCGAGAGCCGCAAAGGCTTCCGCAGGTGCCTGCTGGAAATTCTGGAAAGACCTTCTGTTGTGAGAGGTTGTATATAGCTTCGTTTTTATATATGCATGTATCCACATATACATGATAAAAACTGTTGACAGTGGCTTTTGACAGCGGCTTTGAAAAAGAATTCTTTGCATAAAATCGCGTGATATAGACCATCAACCCCATTTAGCTCGTTTATAGCTGGTTCTGTTGATCCACACTATTACCGTTAGGCTTTTTATTACCCTTACGATCTTATTCTGATCTCATTGGCCACCTTCCAAAGCATATGTGAGAGCTTCAGATCCTTTAACAATTGAGGGCTCACTATAATTCCCTAATAATAACATCTAGTCAGTTTTTGATCAGTAAGGATGGGATGGGTACGGTCTTGTTACTTCCTACGAGTTTCGATCTGCGGACATTTGAGTAACTCATAAGATCCCGGTATGGTCAGTTCCCTTCTTTTAATCAACTTCTTCTCGACCACCTAACTCTCGCTTCATTGGCACAAGGGTCCCTCAGACCACAGCGAAGAGCTTCCGTTGCTCCGGCTGAGTACAACCTCAGCCGTGAAAACTGCCAAAAACCATGAGTATTTATTTGTTGTTATTATATATGGCATGCAGCTTTTACATTGTGCATGTAATCCTTTTTTACCACCTACTCCTCCCCTTTAAATGATGGTCACACGATTGTCTACTGAGGGGGCGAATGGAAGATTTTTCGGAATCAACATAGTTTTGGAATGTAGTTTCTGTAAAAAATCGATTTTATGCGAGTTTTGCTGATACTCAATCGTGCAACATGTTATGTATTGTAGTCTCGCAAGCACTGCAGGAACAATTGACATGTCTGAATTGAGATTTTTGAAAAATTCCTGAAAATTATATTCCCCTTTATTGGAAGTCTCTTTTTTCTCAATGAATAGCCTTTCTCTGATGCTAATTCCAGAAAGCGCCGCAATTTCTCAGCAAATGATTGCTTGCTTTGCTACAGACTCGATATTTTACGATGGAGACAATGGTTGCGTTTTTCAGGGCAATCCTCTGTCCAGAGCGACCTTCGAACGGCCGGAGATTCGATGCCATCTAATTTGAATAAATTGAATGCCTCAGCGGTGTGAGTGTTATTTGCTGTAGTGGTGAGAAGAAATTGATGCTCCTCCTGTTTACGGTACTGGTTCCAGATGTCATACTTCGGAGGATTTTCACGCACCATTTCTCTCAGAGACGGCTCGTATCAAGCAAGCAGGTGAAGGAAAACAGAAAGAGGATGCCCTTGGCTAACTACCACCCGTTTTGGGAATTGAACATATACATATTCCAGAAGAAATCCACATCTGATAAGACTAGTAGATCTGGTTCTGGCCAGGATAAGTTCAACTTATGTGCTGGGTTTAGCCTTACCTTTCAGCATTCGCCACTGTTTGTTCTATCGTCGTTTCAGTATTGTAACAATCACCTTCTTACTATTCATTGCCTGCTAATCTCTGACATGCCTTCGAAGGAAGATGGTATAACATGTTCTAGTAATAAGTGAAAGCCTACGAACCCATGATCAAACAAGCTTTGAATTCTGTAAGAGGTTTCGACTGCATTTGACAGCTCAATAGGGTCAAGGTAAACGTGTTTGTCCTAAAAGGATAGGAAAATGCCAGCACTCTTAGTGCCGATCATCGAAAGTTGGTGCAAATAACGGATCTACATGATTAAAATAAAATCCTATTTAACGAAGACAAGAGAGCAGTTACAGATCTACAAATTGTTTTGACTTGATGTTTTGTTAACTGCTGTTATTTCGCCGCAGTACGCGATGCGAGGGCCTCACAAGGTTCGCGATTTATGGACAAGACCTCAGCCTCGGGCGGGACTCGAACCCGTACTTGTGCTTCCCTGTTACCGTGCTCTATCCCTTACACTACCGAGACCCCGCTTGCCCTCCCATTCTTAATGGCTTATATGCCATAG